TTTATAATCTACCCTAACTGCCTCCTCTTATTAGTTATAAACCTTCACCTCTCCTTTCCCTGTGCTTCAATCTCCTTGTATCCCATCTTACCATTTACTCTCAGTGTCGCTACAACTAGAAATATCTATTATTCTGTGGCCCCTCTATAAACATGTATATCATCCTGATGTCTCCTGCACAGTCTTTTAACTACCAATACATAATCCAACAAACTACTGTCATTTCGCCCTAACATCAATATCGTGTATACATATTTATCCTCTTTTTCTTAAAAGATATGTATTACCTTAACCAAACTCCCTTTCAAATACAAAGGTCAATCAAAGGCTCTCCCCATTATCATTTTACACCTGGCACCCCTGCCAAACTTACCTACCACACCCTCTCTAAAAGTTTCTTCCTACTTTAGCATTTCAAGTCCCCTACCACAATTACTCTCTCACTTGTTTTCAAAAGGCTCCCTATACATTCACTTACATCTCCCAAAATCTCTCTCTCTCCTCTGCCATATTATATAGCATATATATATATATATATATTTATATATATATATATATAATCTATATAAATATATATAGAATATATATATATCTATATATATATTATATATCAATATATATCTATATATATATATATAATTTTTTTTTTTTATTTATCAACACTGGCCGAATCCCACCAAGGCAGGGTGGCCCGAAAAAGAATAACTTTCACCATGCAATTCACTTCCCATCACTGGTCTTGCCAGAAGGGTGCGTTAACACTACAGTTTTTAAACTGCCAACATTAACACCCCTCTTTCAGAGTGCAGGCACTGCACTGTCCCCATCTCCAGACTCAAGTCCGGCCTGCGGTTTCCCCTTGAACCCTTCATAAATACTTTGCTCACACTCCAACAGCACGTCAAGTATTAAAAAACCATTTGGCTCCATTCACTCCTATCAACACGCACACAGCATACCTGCTGGAAGCCAAGCCCTCGCAGCACAAAAAACCTCCTTACCCCCTCTCCTCCAACCTTTCCTAGCCGACCCGAGAACCCCTACCCCGCCTTCCTTCCACTATCAGACTGATAACACTCTTGAAGTCATTCTGTTCACGCTCCATTCCTCTCTACATGTTCCGACCCACCTCAACATCCCTTCCTCAGATCCACCGCCCTCTGGACAACAGTTTTTGGTAATCCCGCACCTCCTCCTAAACTTCCAAACTAATCGGAATTCTGCGCATAATATTCACATCCACACATTGCCCTCAGACATGACAATCTCCACTGCTTTCCAGCCTTCTCCTCGCTGCAACATTCATCACCCAATGCTTCACACCCATAGAAGACGCGTTGGTAAAACTATACTCTCATACATTCCCCTCTTTGCCTCCAAGGACAGTTCTTTGTCTCCACAGACTCCCTAATGCACCACTCACTCTTTTTCCTCATCAATTCTAATGATTCACCTCATCTTTCATAGACCCAGTCCGCTGACACGTCCACTCCCCAAATATCTGAATACATTCACCTCCTCCATACTCTCTCTCCTCCAATCTGATATTCAATCTTTCATCATCCTAATCTTTGTTGTATCCTCATAAACTTACTCTTTCCTGTATTCACCTTTAATTTTCTTCTTTGCACACCCACACCAAATACATCTAACCAATCTCTGCAGCTTTCTCATCAGAATAATCCCAATAGCACAGTGTCATCAGCAAAGAGCAGCTGTGACAACTCCCACTTTGTGTGTTGATTCTTTATCTTTTAAACTCCACGCCCGTCTTTTCAAGAACCCCCGGCATTTACTTCTCTGACAACCCCATATATAAATATATTAAACAACCAAACGGTGACATCACACACCGTGGCTAAGGCCTACTTTTACATGGGAAATACTTCCTCTTTCCTACATTACTCTAACTTTGAGCCTCACCTATCATCGTAAACTCTTCACATGCTTTCAGTAACCTACCCCTACCCATACAACACTTGCAACATCTGCCACATTAGCCCCCCTAACCACCCTGTCATACGCCTTTCCAAATCCATAAATGCACAAAGACTCTTTAGCCTTATCTAAATACTGTTTTCACTTTATATGTTCCTTAAACAAACCTGCCACACCCCCCTACCTTTTCCTAAAGCCTCCTTGGTTCATCTGCTATCCTATTCTTCCGTCTTGAACTCTTTAATTCTTTCAATAATACCTCTACATACACTTTACAGGTATACTCAGCAGACTTATTCCCCCTATAAATTTTGCACTCTCTTTTATCCCCTTTGCCTTTATACAAAGGAAACTATGCCTGCTCTCTGCCAATTCCCTAGTTAACCTTACCACCCTCATTCCATACATTTATTAAATAATTGCACCAACACTCCAAAACTAATCCCCACCTCCTGCTTTTAAACATTATTTCGTACCTTTATCCCATCAACCCGGCTTGCCTTACCCCCCCCATCATTTTACCTACTGCCCTCACACCTCCCTTTGGGTTTCATTTACTATTGTCTAGGAATATATACAAAGTATTTATAGGTCCCAGCAATGTTTTAGATACACGGGAGTATAGAAGAAGAAGAAGGAAGAAGGAGGAGGAAGAAGAAGGAAGAAGGAAGAAATTCCCTTGATGCAATGTGCAAGACAAGTGTTCAGTGACAAGCATCCTGAAGGGCAGTGATAAGATCAGATACGAGATGACATTTGATGGGCTCCAGCAAGGGTGCAGAGAAAAGGGATGACATTTGATGAGCTCGTATCTCTGATTATCTGTCTCTCTGTCTTATTTCTCTGTCTGCTTGTCTCTTTCTGTCTCTCTTCTTATCTCTCTGTCTCAGAGAGAGCCACTGTGAACCAACAAGTATTCTTATGCATTATATCTACAAGCACAGTATAGCACTTTGGATTTTTTAGGTTATCCTAGGTAATTTACACTAAGGATAATTGTATTTGTGTGTACCTGTGAGACGAATAGACAGACAGATAAACAGAGACAGAGAGACAGAGATACACAGAGACAGATAGAAATAGAGACAGATAGACAGACGCTAAACTTGGGGTTAACATTACTTTCCTCTTAAAAGGGGAGTGTTAAAATGACATTACATCAGTGAATCCTTGGTGTTTGCCACACTGTTTGCTCCAGCTGGCACTCAATATAACTGGAGCTCCCACAAGGTACTAAGTGGTCCCAGATTTTTTTAATACTGCGCACACCGAGTGCTAAGACCCATTCTATGCTGACCAGGCATTTCAGGCCAATCATGCCAAATTTGGAGGTAGGAAAAATAAAACGTATATTTACGTTTGGGGCACTAGCGGTAAGAATGTATATGTATGTTTGGACCGTTTACAGGTTAAGCACAATGTCCTCAAATATGGTGTGAGCGGTAAATTTTGGCAGAGACATGAAAGACTCTGTGCGTTGAATGTGTACAGTACTAAAAACATCCTGCCCCATGTTTCTTAGTACTGATAGAATGGAAGATACACTAGTGAAACAGAGATGAACAATTCATAGAATGAAAGACATACTCATGAAACAGACAAACAATTGATAGAAGACATACTCATGAAACAGAGATAAACAATTGATAGAAGACATACAAGTGAAACAGAGATGAGCAATTGATGGAATGGAAGATTCACTAGTGAAAGAGATGATTTCGGTTGGTTGCAGACCAGAAGTACATTGAAATAAAGCTCAAAATGATATAAATATTAGATTTTAGGTGATTTTCCTAAAAAAAAGGGAGTATGGCCCCTACCATTCCCATCCAGGGATCTGTTTATGGGTTTTTACTAGGTCTGCTTCAATTACTGGGACAACCTACACCATGACTAATCATTCTTGGTTATATTTCATTAACCCAAGAAATAGGATAAAACTTCAGATTTTTTTGGTGTCATTACCTTCAGAAAAATATTCTCTACCATTTCAGAAGATAATTTTTTGGGGGAAAAACTTGTGACACTGTCAGCACTTTTCATTTTAAGGGTCATTATGGAAAAACGGTTAAATATAAATACAAATTAGTTTCTTTCATACAGTTGGCATATAAAATACACCCATTGAAAAGGTTCCATAAGACATTAACCTTCAAAAAGACATACTTCCTCTTGACAAATTAAAAAAATAATTACCCCAAAAAATTCACAAAATAGTATACTGTACTGTCCTATAATTCAAAGCAGCTGTTAAAAAACCCTGTACCAGTAAGGAACAGTAAGGCACTTACTACTTTGTCACCTAAGGAACAAAGGAGATTGACAAAGACAACCTAATTAATAAAATACTGTAACTCTCACTATTTTTCCCCAGCTGCCAGCTCAAGCAGTCAGGTGGGCTAACCTACAAAATTATTATATTACTGCTACACATTAACAAGAATGAAGTAAACCCAAAGAGAGACATACAGTATACAACACTAAACATTAAAAGGAGCAGCATCTGATTCATCTAATGCTGAGTGAAACCAAGAGGCCATTTAATTCACTAGAAAATTAATTACTTATCTTGTTCCATTATATTTCAAATGAAACTAAATAACTTTCTGTATCTTCACCATCTCTTTCAATCATTCTGCAAAACTGAAGACACTGAATCAGTTTGAAACAACAAATCATACTTTAAAATTGTACCTTTTGTACATTCACTTTCTTTCTTATTGTGCATATAATGGTAATTAACTGCTTAAAATCTTGCTTAACTGAAGATCACTGAATCAGTCTGAAATATTAATGAATACTTTTAAAATTGTACTGTTGTTTATTTAGCTACCTCTCCTTTTTTGTATATTTTAGTAAACCCACTAAATAATTTGTCTAGTTCTTAAGTAGTCTTTAAGCATTAGGATTACTTTGCCAAAATGCACTGCATGCTAGTGGCTTTCTTTTGTGCATATCAATATTTTATTATGAAAGTTACATTATCTGTATACTGCATAAAAGAAATAAAAAATTCTGAATTTGAATTACAATACGAAAATCAAATACAAGAATCAACTTACAGCAGTGTAGAAGCTGCAGGCCACGATGCCCTGTTAGGTGCATCACGACCATGGCAAGGGTTACTTCTTCGTTCACAGCCAATGCCATCTGTGACGAGATTATACTAGGCAAAACTAATTGATACTCAACAAATAATTACATTGCCCCTACAAAATTTTGTCAAAATACTGTATATACAAGTTTGTATGAAAATTCACCTCACAAAAATGTATAGAAGCTTCAAAAAAATTTTATATCATAGAATATATTTTTATAGCTGAGAATACAGTAAACCCTCAATATAACAAACTAGTAGTGGGGATTGTCCAAGTGTCTGTTAAATCAGAATACAGCCTCTCCTCACTTGACAATGGAGTTCCGTTCCTAATACCATGTCAAAAAACAAATTTGTCGCTAAACAAGGAGTATACTATAATGGTAGTGTGTTTATGTCAACTATCTTTGACATTGCTTCAATGTCACCCTTGCACCATTTATAACGTTTTTAGTACAGTGGAACCACCACTTGCAAGCGCATCCACGTGTGAGTTTTTCCAAATACAAGCAGTCGATCGGTCGATTTTTTGCTTCCATACATGAGCGAAATTTCCATGAGCGAGCGGGCCTCAAAGGAGGTTCCTTGACGCTGGTAAGGGGCTCTTGCTCTTGATCTACGCAACTGGATCTCATTTGTTTGTTGGGCTATCTTATTGAAACTTGGGCATTGTATGATAGAAAGATGCTTCTTAACGTACACCAAAAATTAAAGAAATCGAACCATAAATAATGGAGCTCACTTCTCAGCGAGTAGATGCCCCTTAATGGTATTTTCAAATGGTTTTTATGGTTGTATTCTCGTTTTTTTGGTCTCATTTGATAGAATGGAAGATATATTACAGAAATAGATATGATTTTGAATGGTTGCATGACAAGAACTACCTTGAAAATGAGCTCAAAATAGCAGAAATGTTCTATTTTTGCCGATGTTCGTGAGTAAACGAATGATGTCACCTCCATTCCAATAAGCAGTCATGAATGAATTGACATTATTTATACAGTTATTACAATAATGCAGTAGTCTGCATAACAGTAAATCATCTATTTTTTGTGAATAAAAATTCCATCTGTTTCACAGATGACAAACCTGTAACTGTTTTACATGATGGTAGGATTGCTGGTGACTTTTTCTGTCTCATAAACACGCTAGATAACAGGGATATCTTGATACTCCTACTTACACTTTGGTCACACTTCACAGACACGCACATGCATATATATATACATACATCTAGGTGTTTTCTCCTTTTTCTAAATAGTTCTTGTTCTTCTTTATTTCTTCTGTTGTCCATGGGGAAGTGGAAATGAATCTTTCCTCCGTAAGCCATGCGTGTCGTATGAGGTGACTAAAATGCCGGGAGCAATGGGCTAGTAACCCCTTCTCCTGTAAACATTTACTAAAAAAGAGAAGAAGAAAAACTTTATAAAACTGGGATGCTTGAGAGTGCATGGATGTAGTGCAGATGACAAGAAACAGATGATTGCTGATGTTATGAATGAAAAGAAGTTGGATGTCCTGGCCCTAAGTGAAACAAAGCTGAAGGGGGTAGGGGAGTTTCGATGGGGAGAAATAAATGGGATTAAATCTGGAGTATCTGAGAGAGTTAGAGCTAAGGAAGGGGTAGCAATAATGTTGAAGGATCAGTTATGGAAGGAGAAAAGAGAATATGAATGTGTAAATTCAAGGATTATGTGGATTAAAGTAAAGGTTGGAAGCGAAAAGTGGGTCATAATAAGCGTGCATGCACCTGGAGAAGAGAGGAATGTAGAAGAGAGAGAGATTTTGGGAGATGTTAAGTGAATGTACAGGAACCTTTGAACCATGTGAGAGAGTAATTGTGGTAGGGGACCTGAATGCTAAAGTAGGAGAAACTTTTAGAGAGGGTGTGGTAGGTAAGTTTGGGGTGCCAGGTGTAAATGATAATGGGAGCCCTTTGACTGAACTTTGTATAGAAAGGGGTTTAGTTATAGGTAATACATATTTTAAGAAAAAGAGGATAAATAAGTATACAAGATATGATGTAGGGCAAAATGACAGTAGTTTGTTGGATTATGTATTGGTAGATAAAAGACAGTCGAGTAGATTTCAGGATGTACATGTTTATAGAGGGGCCACAGATAGATCACTTTTTAGTTGTAGCTACACTGAGAGTAAAAGGTAGACGGGATACAAGGAGAATAGAAGCATCAGGTAAGAGAGAGGTGAAGGTTTATAAACTAAAAGAGGAGGCAGTTAGGGTAAGATATAAACAACTATTGGAGGATAGATGGGCTAATGAGAGCATAGGCAATGGGGTCAAAGAGGTATGGGGTAGGTTTAAAAATGTAGTGTTAGAGTGTTCAGCAGAAGTTTGTGGTTACAGGAAAGTGGGTGCAGGAGGGAAGAGGAGCGATTGGTGGAATGATGATCTACAGAGAGTAGTAAGGGAGAAAAAGTTAGCATATGAGAAGTTTTTACAAAGTAGAAGTGATGCAAGGAGGGAAGAGTATATCGAAAAAAAGAGAGAGGTTAAGAGAGTGGTGAAGCAATGTAAAAAGAGAGCAAATGAGAGAGTGGGCGAGATGTTATCAACAAATTTTATTGAAAATAAGAAAAAGTTTTGGAGTGAGATTAACAAGTTAAGGAAGCCTACAGAACAAATGGATTTGTCAGTTAAAAATAGGAGAGGAGAATTATTAAATGGAGAGTTAGAGGTATTGGGAAGATGGAGGAAATATTTTGAGGAATTGCTGAATGTTGATGAAGATAGGGAAGCTGTGATTTCGTGTAGGAGTGAGGAAGAGCCAGTTGTGAGTGTGGGGGAAGTTCATGAGGCAGTAGGTAAAATGAAAGGGGGTAAGGCAGCCAGGATTGATGGGATAAAGATAGAAATGTTAAAAGCAGGTGGGGATATAGTTTTGGAGTGGTTGGTGCTATTATTTAATAAATGTATGGAAGAGGGTAAGGTACCTAGGGATTGGCAGAGAGCATACATAGTTCCTTTGTATAAAGGCAAAAGGGACAAAAGAGAGTGCAAAAATTATACAGGGATAAGTCTGTTGAGTATACCTGGTAAAGTGTATGGTAGAGTTATTATTAAAAGAATTAAGAGTAAGATGAACAATAGGATAGCAGATGAACAAGGAGGCTTTAGGAAAGGTAGGGGGTGTGTGGACCAGGTGTTTACAGTGAAACATATAAGTGAACAGTATTTAGATAAGGCTAAAGAGGTTTCTGTGGCATTTATGGATTTGGAAAAGGCGTATGACAGGGTGGATAGGGGGGCAATGTGGCAGATGTTGCAGATGTATGGTATAGGAGGTAGGTTACTGAAAGCAGTGAAGAGTTTTTACGAGGAGAGTGAGGCTCAAGTTAGAGTATGTAGGAAAGAAGGAGATTATTTCCCAGTAAAAGTAGGCCTTAGACAAGGATGTGTGATGTCACCGTGGTTGTACAATTTATTTATAGATGGGGTTTTAAGAGAAGTAAATGCGAGGGTTTTGGCAAGAGGTGTGGAGTTAAAAGATAAAGAATCACACATAAAGTGGGAGTTGTCACAGTTGCTCTTTGCTGATGACACTGTGCTCTTGGGTGATTCTGAAGAGAAGTTGCAGAGGTTGGTGGATGAATTTGGTAGGGTATGTAAAAAAAGAAAATTAAAAGTGAATACAGGAAAGAGTAAGGTTATGAGGATAACAAAAAGATCAGGTGATGAAAAATTGTATATCAGATTGGAGGGAGAGAGTATGGAGGAGGTAAATGTACTCAGATATTTGGGAGTGGACGTGTCGGCAGATGGGTCTATGAAAGATGAGGTGAATCATAGAACTGATGAGGGGAAAAGGGTGAGCGGTGCACTTAGGAGTCTGTGGAGACAAAGAACTTTGTCCTTGGAAGCAAAGAGGGGAATGTATGAGAGTATAGTTTTACCAATGCTCCTGTATGGCTGTGAAGCATGGGTGATGAATGTTGCAGCGAGGAGAAGGCTGGAGGCAGTGGAGATGTCATGTCTGAGGGCAATGTGTGGTGTGAATATAATGCAGAGAATTCGTAGTTTGGAAGTTAGGAGGAGGTGCGGGATTGCCAAAACTGTTGTCCATAGGGCTGAGGAAGGGTTGTTGAGGTGGTTCAGACATGTAGAGAGAATGGAGAGAAACAGAATGACTTCAAGAGTGTATCAGTCTGTAGTGGAAGGAAGGTGGGGTAGAGGTCAGCCTAGGAAAGGTTGGAGGGAGGGGGTAAAGGAGGTTTTGTGTGCGAGGGGCTTGGACTTCCAGCAGGCATGCGTGAGCGTGTTTGATAGGAGTGAATGGAGACAAATGGTTTTTAATACTTGACGTGCTGTTGGAGTGTGAGCAAAGTAACATTTATGAAGGGATTCAGGGAAACCGGCAGGCCGGACTTGAGTCCTGGAGATGGGAAGTATAGTGCCTGCACTCTGAAGGAAGGGTATTAATGTTGCAGTTTAAAAACTGTAGTGTAAAGCACCCTTCTGGCAAGACAGTGATGGAGTGAATGATGGTGAAAGTTTTTCTTTTTTGGGCCACCCTGCCTTGGTGGGAATCGGCCAGTGTGTCAATAAAAAAAAATAATAATAATAATAATAAAAAAAAACGTACAGCGAACCCCCAACTTACTATATTAATCCCCTTCCAGAGAGCTCATCGTTCGACAAAATTATTGTAAGTCGAATTAATTTTCCCCATAAGAAATAATGGAAATCCAATTAATCTGTTCCAAACACCCAAAGGTATGAAAAAAAAATTTTAACACATGAAATATACATTTTCCTACACACAAAAAGAAGGATACATGCATAATATATGTAGTGTATAAATGAAGAATAAATGACACTTACCTTTATTGAAGATGTAGTGCTGTGTGATGAGATGGGAGGAGGGGAGATGGTAGTGTATTAATTTTTGGAAGGGAAATCCCCTTCCATAAGGACTTTAGGTAGCAAGTCCTTTTCCAGGGTTACTTCCCTCCTTCTTTTAATGCCACTGGGAACAACTTGAGTGTCACTGGACCTCTGTCACACCAAAAATCTGTCCATAGAGCTCTGTACCTC